GGGGGGGGGGTCCTTATTATTATTATTATTATTATTAATTATTATTTTTACTATTATTATTATTATTATCATATATATATATAGTATAATGGGCCCCAAATACCTGTTCTGATTATCAAGGCCCCTGCAATATTGACGTAAGGCATTCAGGTCTGTTGTTGCTTGCGTGGAGCAGCGCTGAGGCTTTAAGGTTGCTTGACTTTGGAGCTGTGTGTCAGGGTGTGCAACATCTAGGGTTTAGGGGTTAAGGGGGTTAGGGTTTAGGGGTTTAGGGTTTAGGGTCGAAGCTGTTCAGCATCTCAGGTGCTAGCAGGCCGCTGGTTCCTCAAAATAATGTACAACACATACAAGTGCAGCGGGATGTGTTGTAAGTTGGGCTGTGGCCTCGGCTTCAACACGGCGTTTGTCCTCCGAGCACTCACCTTGTTGAGTGACCTGCGTGCAATTCATACTGTCGGAAGGGTTTAGGGTGTAGGGTGTCAGACGTTCTGGAGCTGTCTGGCACGACCCGTCATGCCAAAAATCTGGTTTTTGAGCATGTGTGGAGAGGATCATGTGGTTTCTGATTCTACAGAGGACCCACGTGGGCGCGTCACCCATCATTCACCCATCATTCCAGCTGGTCACGTCCTAGCTGCAGGGAGCCGGGGAGTACCGTTTGGTTGCGAGATCGCAGAGCCTGGGCAGTCGTTTTAGGCTCAAGAAGTTGCCAGTGGGAAGGCTCCGATCCACCAGAGCCACCATGGATAAAGGCCAATTCGTGTCACCTTCGGTGTCGCTCCTCTCTGGTGAGACTGTGGTTTTAGACGATCTGCCAGCGGGCACCCGAATTTCTGATGTGAAGCAGCACCTGCGGCGGCGCTGGACGCACCTGAAGGACCCCAGCTAGAGAGGCTTGATAGAAGCACCTGTGCCCGCCTGAAGCGACTATCTGAGGCGGGCTTGTTCGTGAAGCATGAGCCGTTTAGTGGGCCAGAGAAGTCTGTACACGTGTCGGATGCTACCGTCAGTGATCATTGCCTTCGCATGGAGGCCTACATCTTTCAGTGAACTAGGCCGTCTACAGCTCACACACAGTGCCCTTTTACCCTAAGCCTGAAACCTGGTGACAGGAGAAGGCGATTCAACTCTCCGATGGGGTGCGGAGACTTATTAGCAGGTGGAAACCAACGGCTCTTTGCGGAAGCCTTCGTGTGAGTCGTAATTGCGAGGCATATGGAACTTTCAGAGCAATAGGGAAGCAATGCAGAACCTTAAATAATAGGATCCCGAGAAAATATGAGCCCTACATGGGGTATTCGTATTTTCTGAAGCCGCCAGATGAAGCCGAGGATGCTCCGAGACACGGAGATCCTTCAAGATGTCGGCTCGAAGCTGACAGTCGTGATAGGCCATTTGTGAGAACGCTGTTGAAGGTTTGAGGGTTCAGGGTTTGGGGTTCCAGGGTTTAGGTGTTAGGGTTTTAACTTTAGGACTTAGGGTTTAACGTGAGCACTTGAAGACTTGAGCATTGTGCATCGGATTTATTCGTGCTTTGGAGTAGTGGTCTTTTCGCGACTAATCATCGGATACTGGTTCAGGGAGGAACGTCCCCCAAACCCCAAACCGACTGTCAATCGGACATCTCTGTGGGAGCTCCCTTCTTGACGCTTGGTTCCTTAATCCCTAAACCCTAAACCCTAAACCTATCGCGGGCCCCCCTTTCAAAGCCGAATTCACAACGGAGGGGTTGCAAGCAGTACTCTTGCAAATTATTCGGTTCCATGGCATCTGGCAGCCATTAAGTAGTAGTATTATACTCCTGTAAAGTCACGTAAAGTCCCCATATCCATATGTATATACATATATATATATATATATATGTATACACATACATATAGATATGCGCACACACACATATATATATATATATATATACACACACACACACACATACAGAGGTAGATAGCTGAATAGATAGACAGATAGATAGACATAGGGTTTTCGGTCGTAATAAGGGGGCTTAGAAGC